TAGATAGATAGATAGATAGATAGATAGATAGATAGATAGATAGATAGATAGATAATGCAGCAGGCCCAGCACTTTCCATGAAAGCGCCAAGCTGCCTGTTCCTCTTGTTAGAGTGTGAAGGATATCCAAATGGATAGCGCAGGATCCTGACAGCTCACTCTATCGATCCGCTGTTCTTGAGTAGTGGACTTTTGAAGAGGAACGTGTGTTTGTCTTGTTTTGACAATGATCTCAGGCTGCGTGATGCCTTGTAACTCCTCAAAACAGAGATTTGTTTTTAAATATGACTCGTCACAGAAGAGCTACGCCTCTGGCTGTGCCGTGAGATTAGAACACACAGACTTTGGCCTTGTTCTTAGCCGAGGCTGTTTGGGCTTCTTCCTGTAAACATTGCCATTAATGGTGTTTCGACACTCCAGCAAGTCGAGATAGTTAACCTTGTCTTTTCTTAATCAGCCTTTTGAATCGCTGCTGTGTCCTGTGTTTATTTCTCAGCATTTAATTGGTGCTCTTACATCTGCTTCTGACTGTAACTAAAGATGCGCCCATACGCTCAATGCCACCTCATGCCATTTATAACACTGTGAAGAATGGAATTCTCAGGCAGTCTGCCCTCCTCCGATCAGGAGCTGCCGTCTCGTCCCTCCGCTCCCCCACTGGCCGTTGCTGAGGTCTATGTTCTATGGGCAGGTGCCAGCAGCGACGGCCATGATGAGTCCCCAGGTTATCACCCCGCAGCAGATGCAGGCCCTCCTCCAGCAGCAGGTGCTGTCCCCCCAGCAGCTGCAGGCCCTCCTCCAGCAGCAGCAAACAGTTATGCTGCAGCAGGTACAAAGTCCTCGCTTCCTACCGCACACCTGTTAGCGTGTCCCCTCCCCCATCCCGCCTCCTCCCGCACACCTGTTAGCGTGTCCCCTCCCCCATCCCGCCTCCTCCCACACACCCGTTATCGTGTCCCCTCCCCCATCCCACCTCCTCCCACACACCTGTTAGCGTGCCCCCACCCCCACCTCCTCACGCACACCTGTTAGTTGTTTACAGGCAGCAGGGTCAGGTTGCTGACAACTCTCTTTCTCTCACTCTCTCTTGCTCTCTCTCCCTTTCTGTCTGTTTGTCTGTCTCTCTCGCTCTCTCTCACACACACACACATCTCCATTTGCAGCAACATCTGCAGGAGTTTTACAAGAAGCAGCAGGAGCAGCTGCACCTTCAGCTGCTGCAGCAAACGCAGCCGGGAAAGCCGGCCAAAGAGGTACCGGTATGTCTGCAGATGTCCCGTGTGGCACAGGGGGGCGTAGGTGGGTCAGCTGACATGACCTAAACAAAACATAGGAGAAGCCCCCCACCCTCCCAGCCACAAACATCAGTTAAATACGGCTGCTATCAGGTACCAGGCAGTACAGGCCCTGCAGTTTTCCAGGGAGTGTGCCAAGCTCTGCCTTCCTGGTCGATCAAAGATAACAGCCAGTAGAAGTAGCCTCTCTCGCTCTTGAGGGCGACTGACCTTCTCATAGAGCGTCCATCTCGTAACACCATGCGGAGCCGACCGTCAGGTTCAACCCACCTAACATGAGCTTCTAACAGGACGCCGCTCTTCCTTCTCAAGCCCATGAGCAGGAGGGCAGAGAGGTTAGCAGGACAGTGCAATGCACCTACTTCCCAGTCCTCCGCCAGCCCAGGGGGGCCCGCCTCACGGCTCCCTAAAGGCCCCGTTTATCTGGCTGAGGAAACACATGGCGGCAGCATCCATGCACATAGGGCTGCTTCATTACCGCCAGCCGGTCGGGCCGTGTTTATGGGTGATATCTCTGTGCTTAGTTACACACTGGGCTCGGTTGCTGCAGTCCTGATTGGTCGGGATGCCGAGCCCCGTCTGAGCGATAAGCTGCCAGCCATTGTTTTGTTGCCATGGTTACCGCTGTTGTTGTTGTTGTTTTTGTTGTCTCGCCTCTATATACACAAGAGGCAGCCTAGCCTGGGTAATAAACAGAAGGAGGAGAGCGGGGAAGAGGAGAGCTGCAGTCTGGCTCCCAGCTCTGTCCGCTCTCATCGTCTCTGTTCGGACCGCTGTAAGCAGGGATTGCCTGCGAACACTTTCTGGAAGGATCTTGGTTTCCGTGGCTGGCGGGGGCTCAGCGTGCCGGGGTAGCCGGGGGGTGCAAATAGACAAAAGCAGT